ATATAAATATATCAAAATATAAATATATAAATATATCAAAATATAAATATATAAATATATCAAAATATATATATATATATATATATATATATATATTTATATATTGATATATTTATATATTATATATATATATATATATATATATATATAAATATATCAATATTATCCCCTGATATATTATTATACATTATTAGCATAATTTTAGTTTAATTAAAAATTAGAATACAAATATATTATATTATATTAATATATCATTATATTATATTAATATATCATTATATTATAATATTTGTAATTTATTTTTATTGTGTATAAATTACAAAACTAATAATTTTTAAAAAATTTAATGATAATATTTTTAACTTATATATTACAGAATATTTTTTAATACTTTAAAAAATATAACTTTTTTAAATATTTTCATTAATTTAAAGTATAACTTTTAATATTTTTTTAGTATTTTTTTAAATCTGGATATCTTTAATATTTTGGACATATAAATATAATTTATACATGTTTTTAAACCTTTTTCTAATATTTGTTTTTAAAAATATAATATCATTTTTAAAATTTTATAGATTTATATTTATATATTTATAAAAGTAATTGGATTTAATTTATTATCCCCTCATATATTATTATACATTATTAGTGTAATTTTAGTTTAATTAAAAATTAGAATACAAATATACTATACTAATATACCATTATATTATTTTCATTATATTATTTTCATTGTATATAAATTACAAAATTAATAATTTGTATACTATACTATAATAATATATTATTTGTATATTATACTAATATAAATATATAAATATAAAATCTATAAAATTTTAAAAATGATATTATATTTTTAAAAACAAATATTAGAAAAAGGTTTAAAAATATGTATAAATTATATTTATATGTCCAAAATATTAAAGATATCTTCATTTAAAAAAATACTAAAAAATATTAAAAGTTATACTTTAAATTAATGAAAATATTTAAAAAAAGTTATATTTATTAAAGTATTAAAAAATATTTTGTAATATATAAGTTAAAAAAATTATCATTAAATTTTTTAAAAATTATTAGTTTTGTAATTTATATACAATGAAAATAATATAATGGTATATTAGTATATAAATATATAAATATATAAATATATAAATATGTTAATATATAAATATATCAATATATAAATATATCAATATATCAATATATTAATATTTAAATATATATTAAAATATATAAATATATAAATATATAAAACATAAATATGTAAATATATCAATATATCAATATTTAAATATATATTAAAATATATAAATATATTTATATTTATAGATTTTATAAATATATAAAGATATAAATATATATATATATATATCAAAATATAAATATATAAATATATTAATATATAAATATATCATTATATAAATATATATATATATATATATATATATATATATATATCAATATATTAATATTATCTCCTCATATATTATTATAAATTATTAACATAATTTTAGTTTAAGTAAAAATTAGAATACAAATATATTATATTATATTAATATACCATTATGTTATAATATTTGTAATTTATTTTTATAGTGTATAAATTACAAAACTAATAATTTGTATACTATATAATATATAATTTGTATACTAATAGTATAATATACTATATTATAATATTATTTGTATATAAAACTAATATCTTTATATATAAATATGGAAAGATATAAATATATGTAAAAAAATAAAGATATAAATATATAAAGATATAAATATATCAATATATCAATATATAAATATATAAATATTTAAATATATCAATGTATAAATATATTAATATTTAAATATATTTTTATTTATAGATTTTATATTTATATATTTATACGGATATATATTTATTTGTATATAAATATAATTTATTTGTAAGTTATTATTAAAAAATCCTAGTAGCTTAGTGGTTGGAGTTTCAACCTTCAACTTGAAGCTATCGGGTTCAAATCCTGACAATGACAATAAATCTAATAAAAAGTTAAACTTCTAAAAAATATAATATAATTAAGAGGTAGGAGAGATAAATAATAAATAAAAATAATTTTGTTATTGATTTAGCGACCGATTTAAATCGGTCGCTAACTGATTAGCGACCGATTTTTTCGGTCGCTAAATGATTTTTTCTTGTTGTGAAATTTTGTTAAATCTAATTTATTTTGTAGGTTTGAGATTTTAAAAACTATTATTAGTTATAAATGATTCCAATTTTGTAAAAGATGTCTTCCTTTTTATTGAAAAAAATATAGAGTTATGCATAATATCATCGTCTTATCATCCATAAAACAAACGATTAAGTGATGAATGCATTTTATCTATGTTTTTATTTATATATTTTATATATAATTACCTAATTTAATTACTTATTGTTAACATAGTTTTAGTAAAACAAATTATGTGAATTTTTAGTCAAATTGTTGATCAAATTGTACATTTTACTAAATATTTATACCTTATGCATGGATGATAAATTAAAAAAAATTTAAAGCTTTAATATTAAGTATTATGGCTCATTAAAAAAGCATTCCACTAATATCAGTAAAATAAAAACATTCCAATAATAATTAATTTCATATATGAAATAACAATTCATTTAACGAAAGTATCGAACTTGATCAAAGTAATATTATTAATTATTTTGCTCAAAAAATAAACTTAGTAGATTTCACTATATTAATCTTTTAGACCAACATCTCTAAGTTTATTTCACATTGTATTTTTCTAAAAAAACATAATATAATAAAAAATAATTTATTAAAATATTAAATTTAATGAAATTAATAGAAAGTATTATTTAAAATTGATTCTCAATCCTAATCAAATTAATCGAGAGCATTACAAAGAATCTCAATCACAACTATTAAGACAATTAAAGCATCTTTAAAAAGCAAAAAAATTATTTAAATGCTTAAATAAAATATTAATTATTCCAACAATTAAAACATCTTTAAAAAGAAATTAATTGTTTAAATGCTTAAATAAAATTACTACTACAAATAAAGCTTTCAACGTCGGTTCTAATAAACCGACGTTGAAAGTATGATTTTTTAAATTAATAATTTTTATTTATTTACAATCCCTTTATCCCCTTTATTTATCTAGAAGTCTCCCATTTCTTTATATTATATTTTTATTAGGTCCCCCATCTCTTTATATTATATTTTTTAGAAGTTTATTAATTTTTTAAGAGAATTGTCATTCTTGGCAGGATTCAAACCCAGTACTCTAGAGTTGGAGGTTGATACTCCAACCACTAAACTACTAAAATTTTCCGATAATAACTTACAAATAAATTATATTTATATACAAATAAATATATATCCGTGTAAATATATAAATATATAAATACAAATATATTTATATATTTTGATATATTTATATAGTTATATATTTATATGTTGGATGTGAGGGCACACTCGAAAGTGAAAGTGTGTGTCGAGTGAGTTTTCAAAATTTGATGCTAAATTTGTGAGCATGTATTTTTATATGAGTTTTTAATTTAATGACGTAATATAATCTTTATAATTTTATTTATATAATGATATAAAATAAATTTGGGAAACGCGTCATTTGCTCTCAAGCGAAAAATACCAATTTTCGCTCAAGCGAGGCTTGAGTGAGTGAATTTCCGTGAGCTTTAACATATTTTCACTCAAGCAAGAGTCAATCTCACTTTCACCCTCGATCGAAAAATACCAATATAATTTATTTGTAAGTTATTATAAAAAAATTATAGTAGTTTAGTGGTTGAGATATTAACTTTCAACTCTAAAATACTGGGTTCAAAAGTCGTCAGTGACAATTCATTAACTTAAGTGAATTTTTGGTGAAAAAAAAATAAAAATACTTTCCAGAAAATATATACAAATAAATATATATTTACATAGATATATATTTATTTGTATATAAATATAGTTTATTTGAAAATTATTATCGAGAAAATTATAATAGTTTAGTGGTTAGAGTAATAGTTTTCAATTCTAAAATCCCGAGTTCGAATTCTGCAGGTGACAATTTTTGGGTGAAAAAAAAAAGACTTTCCATGTCGGTTCATATGAGAACCGACGTAGAATGTGTTTAATATTCAACTTTCAACGTCGATTCATCCGAGAACCGACGTAAAAAGTATATTTTGTAGTAGTGAATATTAGTTATTTGGAATAATTTTTTATTGAAAGAGTCTTATTAAATATCATAAATTGCTTAATTTTTTTTTATAATCGTTTCTTATCAACTAAATTACAAAAATCAACAAATCAAAGTAACCTATCTGAATTGATCTATATGCCCACTGCACTGCATGGGAAGCTAAGCGATGTCTGTCCCACATGAGTCTTACTGTGGGAAACCGTTGTTTCGCAGTGACATGGCAGTTATCCATGCATCTTTTTATATTTTCAACTAATTATTTGAATCATTTATACAATATTTTAATAGGAAATTTATAATTACTTATGAAAATAATTGTATAGAAAATATTTCATAAATAAGAATTAAACTTTTTCTAATAGTGATCGTATACTCACTTATTATCTTACTCAGATAATAATGACAAGAGATAAAACCTGATGATAATGACTGCTAAATAAAATTTAAGATGACTATGCCTATATACTATATAACAACGTATTGTCAAGAAGAACTAGTTTCCATATTTTTTTCTCATTTGTCCTCAACCAGTAGTAGTCTCATTTCTGCAGTGCAAACCTCCCATTGCATTAAAAAAGGCTTTTCCGTCCCTTGATGCTTCTTCCATCAAGAAGATTCCCCATTCAAAAATTTGTTATCATAATTCTTGACCTGCAAAGTTTGCTAGAGTTTGTTTGTTTCTTCCTTTGCATGTTTCGATAAAGAAAGAAAGAAAGAAATAAAGAAAGGGGAACGAAGGTCGCTAGGAAGGAGAAGGTCAGAATAGAAAAACTGTAGATATCGAGAAAAACTAGAAGATGTCCAAGTCACCTTCGGAGTGTGATGCTGACATTGACTGTGTGGGAAATTATGAACTGGGTAAGACCCTGGGCGAGGGAAACTTCTGCACCGTGAAGGAAGCACTTCACGTTGCCAGCGGAAACAAAGTGGCCATCAAAATTATCGACAAAGAAAAAGTTGTCAATAATAAGGATGTGGTAGCCATGGACACGGTATGCTCACTCTTTTATTCTATCACTTCTGTCATTTCATTCATCTTTAAATTAGACAAAGAATGAAACATGATTTCAACTGAAATATTGTTAACATCATGACCAACTGTTTAATTTTTATAAAGTTGGTATTACAAGTCTTAACTGTTCAACAGTCACATTACAAGAAAGTAGTATAGTATATAATGCATTTTTATTCAGTGGTATAAGCATGAATACCATGCAGTCTTACCAGATATATTATATGATGTTCACCGTTTTGCAGATAGAACGAAACCTATCAAAAATGGAAATGATTAGACACTCGAATATGGTGCATCTGTACGAGGTTAGATGGAATAATTGCTTCCCATATAGCAGCATTTATTTCTTTATCTTCAATTCCCTTGTCTCTCCATTTCAAGTGAGTTATGTGTAGATGACTTATTTCATTGTAGGTGATCTCTACTGAACAACACTTGTTTATTGTACTGGAACTTGTAGATGGTGGGAAACTGTTTGACAAAATTGAGGTAAGACATTTTCACCTTTTCAATTGGGACCAGAATCCTCTAAAATGTGTAACTTTTGTGCTGCTGTTTTCCTGAGCCCAGACAAGCACGACCCGGAGACTGACAGCGGCCGAAGCAAGAGAATATTTTCAGCAGCTTACATATGCTCTGGCTTTCTGTCACAATACCGGTATTTCCCATAAAAACTTAAAGGTGAGGTATGTTGCTCCTTTGCTTTGTTTCCCATTCTTTTAGAAATGTACTTAATTAATTGTCTATTAACTGTAGCCAGAGAATTTGTTGCTGCGTGCTGATGGAAGGCTTAAAATATCATATTTTGGACTGAGTGCACTGTCCCAAGAAGTTGGAGTGAGTTAATTATTGGTGACTAATTTTTCAAACAATTAAAAGGCCATTTTATAACTAATTGGTAACTGAATTTCCTATTGTTATTTGTTATTATAGAGAGATGGGATGGTTTGTTCTAGTATACCATGCGGTGCGCCACAGTATAGGGCTCCAGAGGTATATTATTCTTTAGTATCTCTTAATTAAACTTCAAATTCAGTCTTTCTCTCACAATATTACTATTTTTTGTAATCATATTTAAATATAGATGGAAGCCCTCACGGGCTATGAGGGTGCACGGGCTGACATCTGGTCATCTGGTGTTATTCTTTATTACATGTTGGCTGGTTATCTACCCTTCAACAGTGACAACATTAGGATCACATATCTAAAGGTGATTCTCGTTTTTGGTTAGCATAAGTGCATGAATTATTTATCTGTGACTGGAACACATGATATCTGAGTAAGAGCTTCCTTTTAAGTTGTTGTTCATGTATATTTCTTCGTTAACTTATGATTTTTAATTAATTGAATCTTTCCTTTTAAAAAAAAAAAATTACTGTAAACTACAGACTTGTGTGGCTGATTTCACCTGTCCTTCATTTTTCTCTCCAAGTTTAAAGAGACTAATTAAGAGAATCCTTGATCCCAATCCTGCTACTGTAAGTACTTGACACCATGTTCTATTCTTGTTTAGTTTTGTTGAGGCCTGATATACTAACATATTGATATATATATATCACCTCTTCTGATGCCATGAAACAGCGGATTACAGTTGATGCGATCTTTAGGGATGAATGGTTCAATGGTGATACTGTGGATCATCCTCCTCCTCTATTAGTAAGTGCTAGTTTCGGTGTCTATAGCAGCTACATAGGCTTTTGGTAAAGTTTTATATTGGTTAAATATTAGTCAATGTATCTGATTTTGTGCACAGGATCCTGTCGCTGCGGAGGGGCAAGATGCAGGGTCTACAATACATGAAATCAAGAATTCATATGATAATACACGTATCCCTTCCATCTTCAGATGTGAACCATTACTGCGATTAATAAATGTAAATTTTAAATATCTTTTGTAGACCTCTTAATTTAAATATCCGTTTTCTCCTGTTGATATTCTTGTAAATAGATATCTCCAATCAATAGAATAGTATTATATACTTTGATTAGTCGCCAAAATGATCGAATTTAGCTGAGTAGTAAATTCATGACACTTTGTTTTCAAGTCATGAACATCAAAATGTCAAATGTAAGTTTTTCTTTTCAGCTTCACACCATTACGATCGACTCTTTGTCTATCAGTGAAACTAAGAATACATAAATAGTCTCTCCAAATTTGTTATTTCTGAATTTTTGTTACCATTTAAAACAACTTGTTTTTTTTTTTTTTTTTAACAACCAGGTACTTGCTTTAAGGGAAAGACGTTTCGTGGCCAAATTTTGTAAGAGTGAGATAATTTCAGCATTGGAAAAATCTTTAAGAAGTATGGGTCTTCGTGTGAAGAACGTAAAGGTAAGAAATTTTGTTTCTAACACATGCACACTTTCCAATTTTAAAATAATAAAACCGCTGTCAATGTGTAGCAGTAATAATAAGATTTCTTAATATCAAGTTCCTACTTGTGATAACATTTCTTATTATGCATTTCAGTTGGAGATTCAAGGGAGGGTTGGACCCGAACAAAAAACTCTATCTATATATACAAAGGTATATATGTTTTTGAGTTGAATACTTAAGCTACTGCTTCCATTAGCAAGGTATGTTCTTTCTTTTTCTAATGCTTTTATAAATTCTGTTTTACAGATTTATAGGGTGTCCTCGCCTCCCTTTCACCTGGTTGAGATTTGGAAGACTGGAGGAGATGCTCGGGATTTTGACAAGGTAATTTCATTTCTAAAAACCTTAATGAACAAGGATAAGGTTTGATGTTGAACCCTTTTGTCCCATTGTATTTTTCTTACAATAATAAATTATCCTTGATTATCCTTGTTTGCTAACTTGTGTAGAATGGATTGTTAATGTTTGTAGTTCTACGCGGAACTATGTGATGGGATGAAGGAGATCATTTGGGATGAAGGAAGTGATGGCTAATTGGTAAACTTTGACAGAAAGAAATGAGTAAAGAAATGAGACATATATGTAATCTTGTGAGGCCACTTCTCTTGGGACCACATCCTGAATATACCCAATTGTAATTAGATAAAAACAAAGAACAGTGACGACAAATATATGTTTTCTCTGTTCTATCTTCATCACGAATATAAAAACAGACCATGTACGAAAAAGCAAATTGATTGGTTCAATTAAAGCCATAATTCATTCAAATGAGGATATCACAAACCCCTTCATAAATTCTTCCATGAAAACAAGCACATTTCAGTCCTTCTTTTGAAGAAAAACAACCTTTATTCATTATTTATTCATGATGTAAAACTGTCATTGGAAAGATTGTAAAAATGCACAGGATGAGGTTAACGATTAGGCAAAGTGGAAAATGTAATCCTTCAAGCCTTTCAGACCTTAACAAGTAGAAAAAGTTGTCATTGAACAATGATGACATTTATGCATTAATGCTCTATTCAGCATTTTGCATTGACGTGATATCAAACATGCAATATATTGGTAGTCTCAGTTTGATAACCAGGTACTTGTCAGATTAGGTTTGCTTAAGGACTATAAAGAAAAGAGGTCATCATATTGAGTAAGTAACAGGCAAGTGTTATTATTCCCAAAAAGTAACGTCAAACACAACATTAAATATATCACTGAGCTGTTAACCATGATCCACAAATGACTTTCATAAGGAAACTGTGCAGATTTGTTTTCTGCATAAAAATTCTAATAATACTGCAACAACTTTTTAGTCAATATCAATTGAAATTTATTAAATTTCTTAAGTGGATCAGAATATAGTATTGATGTAATTACTTTGATTATCACTATAAGGTTACAAAATGGAGGATGTAATATGCAAATTTTAATTAAATGTTGAAATCAAATGTTAGCCCAAAATAACCATAGTGTTATTATATGAAACAAACTCAACAATAATCAATGTGAAATCCTTTCCTTCAAAATATTTTTTTTAATATATAATAAAATATGAAAAATAAAAAATAAAAATATTTACATATATTAATTCTCAAAATAAAACTTAATAAGAATTTCAAAACGGTGACCTTAAAATAAATTTAAAATATCTATAACATAATACCTAATTATACACCCCATTAAAAATAAAGATAAAAAAAATTTAAGTTTACAATGTCTTCCTTTTTATAAAAACATTCACATGAAGAGAAAAATCGTTTTGCTCACACAAATAACAAAAACAATACAAATATATTTCATGCATGTTATAGACTCATATAAGAAAGTCAACTAGAACTACAAACAAACATCTCATATATCAACACATACTTAATCACAAAACTTACTCTATACTCTTTTCTCTACATGCTTGCAATACCATTGTGAAGTGATATTAGAGCAGTGCACCTTAGCCAAAACCTTGACAATAGAGTTTTCAATTTTGGATTTAACACTCTTCTAAAGATCACTGACACTTTTGGAGACATTTTCAACTGCAGATAAAGGAAAGTATGTAGCAACTTTACATTATCTTTGTGTACCAAAAGGTATTAAACTTATAAACTAAGAATTTAGGTAACAAATAATTGGTAACTAATAAAGAAAACTTGGTGTTTGCTCTTTAGAATATTGTGTATTGTGTGAAATTTTGGAAATTTGATTACTATTAACAAGAAATTTGTTTACAAAAACATAAAAAAAAAAAACTCCCAAAGAAGATATACAACTATTTAGTTTAGAGGCATGCTCCCTTTTCCACATCAACATTTCTTTATCATCACTATCTTTAGCATCTATTTGGCCAATGGAAGATGTGAAATCCCAAGAAACTCCTCCGAAGCAATAAACTTAATAAGATAATCTAATGATGTTTTCATAAGACCAAATCACACAATGACATTATAAAGGGTATTATGAATGGAAACTATTAGTCTTCATATATATATATATATATATATATATATATATTTGGTCTTTCAAATGTTCAACCCTAAAGGTTTATATGTAACCAAATTTGTATACCACATAGGTGGGACACAGTTAAATAAAACCTACCATGTTAATGCCATTAAAGCTTAGATAAAATAAAATTTCAAAAATAATCATAATATGCCAACAGATTTGATTACTCCATAAAATATATAATATGGAAAATATCACAATATACTCAATTGTCATCAAACCCTACAAATAATATTATTTGTTAACTAAAATAGGTACTTGTATGAGTCCTATAAATAAGAAAATACATCTCCATACATACACATTCTTTCAGTCTTTGATTTACACACTTCTACATTATTATTATCCTCTCATTGATACTTAGTCATCTCAAAATCTTCGTAGGTGAACCTCTTTTTTTATAAACCTCGTCTATAACTTAACATTGATGCTTGAAGGTTATTGTTAATCAAATATTCTTTATATAGTACTCACTTGAGCACCCTCTATTTCTTCATAATAACATTTGATTAGGGGATTGTTGTAAATCTTTCCTAGGCCACACCTTCTTATGATTCAAACTCAAAATCAAGCCAATTCATCAATTATTAAGATGGACACAAACATCATTATCAAGAGCTTAAAGCTCACATAGAAGAAATTCAACAATAAACAAATAATAATTTATAGGCTAATTTAATTGCCTTGCAAATGATGAGGAGAACATTTTTTGCCAACATCAAGGAATTATAAAGGAAAATCAAGGGGACCTAAAGCTCATTTAGAAGTGACATGAAGACAAACTTAGGACTCTCACAAATGTTCTCATTAGGAAATTGACCACATAATGGTAGAGACAAGCCTTTTCATTATGTGTGGGGGAATTCTATACAACTCCCTACTAGGAATAAACTACAAGTTAGTGCACGAAACAACCCACACACCATACAAAGAAGATTGAACACTAAAAATTTATTGTTTGAGTCCCACACTTGGAACAAATTAAGTCCTTAACTTAAAACTCAAACGAGGAGTCTCACACACTTGATTATGAGTGTGAAACCTTTACATCAACAGAAGATGCCTAACTAGGCATGCAATAGGTATGAAAACCTCTTTCTCCCCAACATTATGGAGGAGACTGTTCCCACAAGTAGAAGACTCCAAGAACACAATAGTATGTTAGAGTAGTAGATTCAAATAACATACCTACACTAGGTCAGAGTCTTTAGATGTAGTGATTCCTTTTTGTATATGATCATTCTTATGACTTTAATGGGAGCAACTTTGCAATGATACAATGACCTAGGTAAGGTCTCTAACTCTTATGTGAGACTTAGGTAGTCAAATTATTTAAACTCTAACAATAACAAAAATGTATATAGATAATTTTGATAATAAAAAATATAATTAAGTTTTGAATATTTAACATGTGTGCTTACATTAAATGCAAGGGTTATAATTAAGTTATTCTAAGCTATTTACAAAAATCCACCAGAAGCAACAATAATCTAATACCTAACCAACTACCCTATTACTGTCAAACCCGCCTGATGCATATACTCTATTTAACTGATGATTCAACTAGGTTAGCTCATCTCATGACTTCCCATATATACATCTTTTATATTGAATATAAACGTAAGCTCCAAGGACGATATTCTTGTGCAAGTAAAATTTTCCTTGGGGGAGTACACTCAAAGCAAATTAAATTAAAGTAAGGCGACTTAGAGACATTTTTTTTGTGAGCTTTGACCATACTCCTTATCCCTTGCATAGAGGTTGTCATATCTTTTAAAATTTCTAGAGACACGTGAGAAGCTATAATAGCTAAAGAAAACTCCAGCCTTACATTTTCCTATGACTAACTTTGTATGAAGACTATATAGATAAAGATGTAGCCAACGAAACTATTTACATGAACAAAAACATTGCATAATTATCTTCCAAAATTATAGTCACATATTTCTTAGCCTTTCAATTGCACATTCTTCACTCACTAAAGTTATTTCTCTTGTATACAATAAACTATTTTATATCCTCTCTATGAGAAAAGATCAAGACCTTACAAACAAAGATCAGGCAAGTATAAAAAGTATAAAAGTATATCAAGATATCAAAGAATTATTTCCAAAGAATATTAAAGGCTTTCAACATGCTATAGAAGAAGGAGATTAATGAATGAATGAAAAACACATAATAATTTTTATCATCTTCTTCATACCTTATTAAGATTATTGTTAGAAAGTTTAAGCAAAAAAACCGCAGCTTTATCCTTCACTCAGTGAAATAAGATTCTTCTACAAGAGTATTTCATTATATATCCTATGTGTGAAAAATATCCTTTGGTTGTTCACACACTTGTTCTTGTACCTAAGAATTATAACAAATAATACTTGATGTTCTTAATAACAGGAGATTGTAGGTAAGAGTAACTTGATGTATTTATTGTAACAAAACTCTTTTAAATGTTTCTTAAATGAACGCTAGATGTAGCCCAAAAGTTTGGATGAAACGATATAAAAAATTAATTGTTTTTATTTGTCATCTAGCCTACTTGATTATATATTTCATTCTCTATATACTTATTTTTAAAAGATATTTTGAAGTTATTGTGAAAATATTGTAAAAAACTTTATAAGCTTCAAAAAGATCTCTAAGTTATCTTACCATTAACCAAATTAAAAATATATCTAAAATTATTTTAGATAATTATATAATCATGATTCTAATTATATTTAAAAAAAACAAATAAATTGAAATTTCAAATAACTAAATTAGAAGTAAATTTAATTAAATTTTATATAACCAAATTAGAAATATTTAAAGTGATTTTAATTAAATAAGTTGTCTCAATCACAAAACCTGTACCATAAGATTTCATAACAACACCTAATAATATTTTATAACAACTTCCTGACGAATGTTGTATATGTTAAGATCCAACAACAATCTCTTCATAGATGGAAACAAAAATTGAAAAAACGTAAACGATAAAAGGCACAAAGGCAACAATAAAAGGCACAAGTAGATGATGAGGTAGAATACGGGAATCGAAAATAAGCTAAAAATCATTCTAGGAACAAAAATATGACAACTTTGTAGTTTGAGAATCTATCACTACTACAAAATATGCTTTCAACGTCGCCATTTAACGTCGGTTCAAGCTGAGCCGACGTTAAATACACTTTCAACGTCGGTTGGTTAAAAAACGACGTTGAAAGCTGAATGTTGGACACATTCTACGTCGGTTCTTAGTTAACCGACGTAGAAAACACTTTCAACGTCGGTTCTAGATGAACCGACGTTGAAAGTCTTTTTTTTATTTTTATTTTTACTTATTGATAGCGGTTATAAAGGAACCGCTATCTAAAGTCGACTTTAGATAGCGGTTCTAAGGGAACCGCTATCTAATGTCGACTTTATGATCGATCATTTCAAGTTATGATCGATCGAATATTATTTCGCTCGAGCGAGGGAAGTGTCGCTCAAGCTGAAATGCAACCCGAGAATGCTAATTTTGTGCAGGGGGCTTTTCGCTCGAGCGAGAAGGGTGTCGCTCAAGCGAGATACACTTTAGATAGCGGTTCTAAGGGAACCGCTATCTAATGTCGACTTTAGATAGCGGCTCTAAGGGAACCGCTATCTAATGTCGACTTTATGATCGATCATTTCAAGTTATGATCGATCAGATCTGATTTCGCTCGAGCGAGGATAGTGTCGCTCAAGCGAAATACAACCCGAGAATGCTAATTTTGTGCAGGGGGCGTTTCGCTCGAGCGAGAATGGTGTCGCTCAAGCGAGATACATTTTAGTTAGCGGTTATGACCGATCGAACTATTTTAATCGATTAAATCTCGTTTCAATCGATTAAAACAATTTCACACGAACGTTTTAATCGATTAAAACTTATTTTTATCAGCTTAAAATTACTTGAAAAGTTTTACGAGAAAGTTTTGCAAGTATTTCAATCGATTGAATCGCTGAAACAATCGATTAAATCAACTTAGAATATTTTTTGTAAAGTGTTTTAATTGATATAAACGTTGTCGTACGTATCGGTTAAAACAAATCTGTTTTAATTGATATACATTTTTGTAAAGTGTTTTGATTGGGTGTTTTGATCACTCGGATTTGAGATTCAAGGTCATTGGGTTGGATTTCAAGCTTGAGGTCGAGTCATGCATGCTTGGGTTAAAGATCTTGGAAGTCGAATAAAAGGGTGGAGGATTGGGGTTGGAGAGACGAAGGTGATTAAACTCGAACAATGGTGGATAGTCACCGGTACAAGGTCACAAAGAGGGAGTGAAATTGTGAGCGGGAAGGTGAATTTGGGAGGGTCGTCAGCATGAAGAACACAAAATTTTGGACGATTATCGGTGCGAAGAAGATGAAAGTATCTGGGTTTATTTGTATATATTTACACTGGATATATATTTATTTGTATATAAATATAATTTATTCGTAAGTTATTATCAAAAAATTCAAGTAGTTTAGTGGTTGGAGTATCGCCTCCAACTCTAAAGTACTTGGGTTCGAATCCTGCCAATGACAATTCTCTTAAAAATTAAAAAACTTCTAAAAAATATAATATATGGAGAACCTAATAAAAATATAATAGGAAGAGAGGGAGCCTTCTAGATAAATAAAAGGGGGTAAAGGGGTTGTAAATAAATAAAAATTATTAATTTAAAAAATCATACTTTCAACGTCGGCTTTTAAGAACCGACGTTGAAAGTCGACATTAGATAGCGGTAACCGCTATCTAAAGTGTATTTTTCAACGTCGGTTTTTTTGAACCGACGTTGAAAGTTACGACTTTCAACGTCGCCTGATACAACGTCGGTTATTAAACCGACGTTGAAAGCCTTCCAGAACCGACGTTGAAAGCTTTATTTGTAGTAGTGTATATTCTCTATTTTTCATTGTTTCCGTTTTTCCCTCTTAACTTATTGTTATTTCCTCTTTTTTATAGATCATTCTCTCTTACCCTCCTTTCTTTGAGTATCTTTTCAGATCGTAAAAATTTGTTTGACCCCTTTTCCGTTATGAAATCCTTGTATTTAAATCTCATTTTCAAGTCATGGTAACTCCTCTTTATTCGTTGAGCAGCAGGAAATCAGGGTGGTTATTGATGGTTAAAGGTGGTTGTAGGTACTCTAGTGGGATAATCATTTTTTATAAATAGGCTACGTAAATTCATTATTTCCGCATTTTTGTATGTTCTGTCTCCTTTTACAATGGTGGCGCACAAAACTGGGAAGCAATGGTGACACATAAAACTGTGGAAAATGCTATGACGACACGTGAAAAACCTCTTTTATAACAATATGCTCAGTGTTATAAGAAAATTATATATATCAACTATTCTCAAGTAAAGAGTACGGAAACAGAATTCTGCAATAAGCCAACATTTTGCAGAAACAAAAGCTTCCTTTATCATCCTTATTTGATACTTGAAATGCTGTTTAATTCATCCCTGGTTGTAGGTCTGACGTCTGAATTTAGTCTACGAACTTTAGGCAAAATTTAATCATGATCTTCCAATGGCAGAAAATGAGAACTTTTAACCTTCACAATTTTGTGGTATGGGAAGTGGAAGACAGGGAAAACTAAGTTCTGTTTAATGGTCTATGCGCAGTCCTCGAAATAAGGGATATCAGACATATCGGAGGACTAATATTAGGACTATAAGTGACCCTGAATTAATGTCTTTTGTCAATGTCTTTACTATGGTTTGAAACTGTTATTGCAGTCATAATAGGATCCTATTACAGTGTATCGAAAAACCTTTATATTGCAAGCAAAGGTTACTATTACAGATCACAGTTTAAAACCATAATCTTCACTAATGGAAACGTTTCATACCTTTCTAAAAAGACGATTTTAATATTCGCATGAAGACATGGCTTATTTTTAACTTATAAGAAAAGTTTTTTAGTTTTTAATAAATATTAAGGGATACCTTTTCCAGAGCTATATACGATACCAAAACTTGAGGCAGTTGAGTTTATTGATAGAAATCACGAGCCTGTACAGCATAATACAAGTGCAAGAATTCTCAAACTGTGCTGCTATATATGTTGCAGACAAGTCTCTATACAGTCCCAAGTCCCAACTATTCTAGTTCTTCAAACCCATTGAACAGGATACAATAATTACCTAAACCAGTGGGGCATTACATGAACTAAAAAACTAGCAGCTTTGCACCACTCATACAGAAAAACGAAAAAAATAACACCAAGGTTGATTCATTTCCCTGCCTCAGGATCTGCCTTCACTGATTCAAAATTGAGAGGGATCTATGGACTTTCTTCAGGAAGTATCTGCTCTTAGTATTGGTGACAGAAGCAGAAGATGAAGCTGTTGAACTTTTAGGGGGTGAAATGACACAATCATTTGTGCTAATCTCCCTCTCATCTTCAGTAATAGTGTCCAACATCTTTGATGTTCTGTGCCTCATCACAGTAACATACTGAGGTGGTGCTACCTCCATGAAGAACCTAGCAATGCGAGAATTTGCCATTTTTGTGAAGTGTTTAGGAAGAAGAGAAAGCAACAAGATAGAAAAGTTCTTGGAGAAATTTTGCTGAAATTGGTTTGATTGTTGATGATGGTAATGAAGGCCACGAAGGGTTCAATTTATAAGAAGTGGCTAAACTTACTTGACTAGGCTAAAATTCAGTCAATGGTCTTAATCATGAAGGTTAAATAAAAATTTATTGGTTAGTGCCGCCTTCAGCTTCTGATATTAATTGCGATGCAACGCCGTTTTCCTGACTTTTCCTTGTAGATAACCTTCCAGTGGGACCAACTTTGCATGTGTCAAAACGCGGGTGGAAAATTTGATATCCATGGAGATATGGTTTTTGTTGGGTACAGTAGTTCTAAATATACACTTTTTGGGGTTTAGTGAAGGGGCGTTTTAGTGTGCCACGTTGCTTATGTTGGGGATATGACTTGGACGTGGGTGGTCATGGGTGTAACTGGAGAAATTTTATTCATACATTTGTTCATTTTATGTTGGTTGGTTTAGCCTTCCAATTTTCAGGAGACTGATGATTGGGTCATAGTTGCCTTGATATTGAAGAAGTTTGATTGAACGAAGAAAATGGATGCCAAGTGTGGCATCAAGTAGTTAATTGGCGGTGAGGTTCCGACAACATTAATGGGAGGCAGGAGCAATGTGTTTAAAATGGTAGATATTATTATTTCGGATTGTTTTGATTTGATTCTAAGGGAAGAACATGTTAGAGTTGAACATTAACTTCGTAGAAATTTAAAACTTCACTAACACAAAGGCGTATAAAATTAATGTCTTAATATTTAAAATTATTTTTTTTATATAACTAGTTTGTATGATTATTCTTGATTATCTTTCTATATTATTTCTTGTAAATACAAATATAACGCCTATGGTGGTGATGGACACAATTCATCGTAGTCAATCTCTTATGGTAATGCCTGTAGAGACTTCAATGTCAAAGTTGGAATGTGAGTGTGCTATTAGAAGCTATATAATTTTGGTCGATTCCTATTTTAAGTCAATTATAAGATGATCTTTAGAAGAAACTTAAGATCGGATTCTAAGAAGGTGGAAAAACAGGGGCAGTGGGTGCACTGATATAAAATCTAAGGATTATTCTTGGAGAGAGAGAGGGGTAAGAGAGGTAGAGATCTAAAAAATACCTTAGCCGTAATGAATTAAATTTTTAAAGTGAATAATACCTTAGACTAGTACTAGACCTTCACGATGAGAAGAGAGAAAAAAAGAATTATTACTAAAATTCTCTTTACTAAGCTTTTATACGACAAGAGATGTCATCATAACTATTTCAACTTTTCATGTTCAACAAAATGAACTTATAAAAATCAAATTGATATAAAATTAATGTATTAAAATTGGAATGATAGTTCTATCATATACTATTCATCCGTAGATAATAATATCATTTAGAATTTGTTGTAGAATTAACATGCATCTTGTTATTTCATTGGGTAACTCATTTTAAAAATAATCAAATACCTAATTCAATTCTATAAAACAGTTTTAATTCTTTAGGTCACTTATTTTCTTAAATCTTGATTTCCTTTCTATTTTTTTATTAACTCGATTTCTTATCTTCTTAATTTATTTTTAATATTCTCGATCTTTATCATATCAATTTTTACTCTCTTAATCTTAATTTTTATTATCCTAATCTCAATTTTTACTATCTCAATTATCAATATTTTTTTCTTTAACCTTAATATTTTTTTCCAGAGCAACAAATTCAATTTATTTTACTCAATATTTTATCTTTGTTATTTTCTGTCTTCTATAACTTTTGTTGAGGATTTTTATTTATAATTGAATCCTTTATATTTTTTCACGGAAAACCTTATTTCCTTGTTTTCAATTCTTCTTAAAAACTCATTCGCCCAAACGCATGTTACCATTAGGTTATTTTAAAGCGACATGAAGTAATATTTACTTATTTATCTTTTTAAATTCTATTCATTTCATAATAAATGTTAGATAATTAATTATATTTCATTTAAGATAACGCAGTGTCTAGATCAGTTTCTTCATCATCATAACTACCATTCGTCGATTCCTTTCCGTTTTATTCCAATAGCGTGTTATTCAGGGCAGTTTATTACAGTCACTCACCATCATACAATATATAAATTTTGGTGGATCCACGTTAGCTCTGTAAACTTTTAAAACTAATAAAATGATAAATAATAAACTTCAATTATATTTTTGTTATTAACTGTTAATTTATGTCAAACTCATTAAATATTTTGCAGGAGTTATAATTTTATATTATAGCATGTTGTATTTTTATGAAAATTTGTTCGTCACATTATTTCGAACGGGATATGAAGTTATAACTTAGAAGAAAAAGAAAATTATACATCTACCATATTAATATAAAATATTCATTTTCATAATTCTTTTTCCCTTTTATTAGCTCTAATGGTCCATGTGAAGGTGAAGGTGGACCATAATTTGGAACGAATAGAAGTTGTAAGAAATGTAAAGAGCTTCTTATACAAATACAAAAGTCTTGGAGCCTCAAAACTTAAACAAATTCCATAATAGACTGGTCTCTAATGACGTCTCCCAGCTGTTGAAATCAAAGCTCGTATATTTTTAAAATTTGACTATTAATTAAAATCATATCACCACTACAATAACAACATTTAATATCTATTATATATAATATTAATTTTTAAACCGAAATAAAATTAACAAAATCAACATTAGTTATAATAGAATCAATTTCTTTTAGAAATGAAAAATATTTAACAAGAAAGTGAGGAGAGGAGTATTTTAGGCGACATGTGGGATGTTAGTTACGATAACGAGAGACGTGAATAAATAAATATACATCCGGTCTCGGAACCAAGAGAACAGAGAACAATGCTCTAGTATTCAAGTTCAAGTTTTGCTATAACAGGTTTCAATAAATTTTTCTGCAAATTGGATTTAAAAAAGAGATATAAACAAAATTAATAAATATATAATTCATCGAATTTGTTGACTTTGACTATGAATAACTTGGACAATTCAACATAATCATAAACAAGTATTTTAATCATAATTGCTCTTGAAACAAGAGGAATATCTACTTGTGAGTACACTTTAATTTTTAAGTTAATAACAAATATATATATTTTTCTCTCATATTATATTTTTCTCTCATATTGACAAATTATCTAAAACTAGTAAGATGATATTTATAAATTTTTTATTAGAGATGTTTTAAGTAATAAAGATACATATTTAATGCTAATAATTTTTCTTTATTACATGATCAAACATTGATTAATAAGTTATTTGATATTAATTAAAGAAAGTTAATATGAGAGAATATTTCAATAATTAAATTTAAACATGTACATAAGTCTCCCAAGTTTATAATAAAAATGTATGAATTATAAAATTATCCAAGCTTATTTCTTTGTTTGTACCAAGTTTATTTTTTTTCGAACTTATATTAAACTTATCTCTTCGTTTATACCAAATTTATTTCTTTCGAGCTTGAGAAGTCTTTTTAACTTCTACTGAGATGACATCTGACAAAACATTAATGAGAGATTTTTATAATGATTTTACATTGTTAATGGATTTTTTCTCAAAAATAGGGTTCGAGATTAGGTTGAAATTTTAGTTTTCCCTTTATCATTCATTATACCCTTCTCTTGAGTTTGAACTTCCTTGAGTCCCTTGTCGAGCATCCAATTCTTTTCAATTTTTCATCAAGAAATCCAATCCTAATCTCACTCTTAGGTACATATGTTTTTATTACCATGTCTTCTTCTTTTGAATCTAATGGTTCAGTTAAACCTTTAGTGGGTCCTAGTTCTTCTATAAGAACTAGAAGGGGTAGATTTCCTCCAATCTCCGATCCTAAATATAGTTGGGTGCTTGGGGAAGTTATCTATTATTCTTCTATTTTTACTTCCTCTTCTTTGGTGGAAGATGTTTGTAAGATTTATGGTGTTTGTTATGATTCTGATGTAAAATATATTAGTGTTTGACCTTGTGATTCTTTTGATCGAGTTTTCATGAAACCATCTTTAAACGGTGAAGATGTTACTTTTGTATACAACTGTTTCTTCAAAGATTTAGATATTCAAGTTCTTTTTACAAGTTTTGAATGCAACGTGCTCTCTATTTTGTGTGTTTTCCTAAGCCAACTTCATCATAACAGTTGGGTTTTCCTGAAAGCTTCCCAAAATTTGTGTGATATTTTAGGTCAGACTCCCACTGTAAATAAATTCTTGTATTTTTACTAATTAAACTATGGTTAAAAGGTCGGTTGGGTATTATTGAATGGATCTCAACATGGTGACTTATTCACCCTCTTTTAATCATCCTTTAAAATTTCAAAAGTTTTTTTTTTTTTTAAATTAGATTGCTCGAGATGATCCATCCCAACATCTCTTTTTACATTTAGACCATACTTCTCATTTCTCCCTATATTGGCGAACTCTCCATAAATTTAAATCTCATGTCGAAGCGGGGGCGGGTTTTGCCTCCCCGTCCCCGCCCCGACTTTTTAACCATCCTCGTCCCGCCCCGATCCCCGTCTGGGTTAGTAATTAAGTCCCCATCCCCGTCCCCGCTGGGTTTTGGGTTCTCCGCCCCGCCCGTCCCCGATTTATATTTTAAAAAGATAATTATATTTATAATAAATTAATTTTACTATGTATTTTTATATATAAATAAATATTTATAATTTATAGTTATTATTAATTAAATATACATTTTAATTTATTATATTTATATTAAAATATATATGTAAAAGAAATATTTAATTATTTTTTATTTATATATATATATCTAATATTTATAAAATTATTATTATTATTATTATTATTATAACACTGTATTCAAATATTTGAATATTTATAACATTATTATTATAATACTGTATTCAAATATTTAATTATACATATAAGTTAATTCATTTTTAAGTTGTCAATATATAGTTTATAAGAAAATATTTAATAAGTTAATTCTTATTTAATTAG